AGTGCCTGACTAGTCCTCAACGCTGTCAAAGTTACCAAAAACAAGGAGAGTCTGAGAAACTTGAAACAGCAGGAGCCTGAGGAGACATGAGGACCAACTGCCACGTGGATCTGGATGGGGTCCTGGGGCAGGTAAAAACTCAGGAAAGAGGAGTCAAGGATGGACTCTGGTTACCAAAGCGGCATCGACGGAGGTTCGTCGACTGTTAACAAATGTCCATGCTGATGGCAGGCGGTCCAGACAGGCAAGCAGGCACGGGTACACAGGAACTCTGTACCATCTTCACAGCTCTTCTGCAGATCTAAAACTATTCTGAAGCAGCTTATTCTTACAAGTCACCAAAAAAAGGGAGGAGAGTTTTACACATGTTAAATAGTTAAAACACAAAAATGCTGCAATGCACGCACTTTATCTTGACAAAGCCCTGAGGGCTGGCGCTGGGCGTGGCGTCCCGGTGGGGAAGGCGGTGTCTGAAACTGGACGGAAAGCAGGTGGGTGGGTGGCAGGGTGCAGGTTCTGTGTTCGCCTAGTGTCTTCTGGGAACTAAATGGCACAGAAGCAAATGCTAAATTCTCATGCTCACGCTGTTCCCTCCAACATCAACCACTCTGGAACGAACTCCCGTCTTCAAAACAAGTGCTATGGCGGAACAGACTGCTTCACAGAAGAAGAAATCAATCAGACCCGAGGGACGCGACAGCACTTCTCCTCACCACTGGCCACGATGACGGTCGGAGGACACTGTGCTGGCGAGAACACAGACTTGCTCGTAGCTGCTGCGTGAGTCTGCACTCGCCTGACTGGGTGGAATGTCCATAATCTCAGCCTCTGCACCAGGCGACCGGGTGACAGCAGGCAGGGCCGCGGGTTCACAACTGTAGACAGCCCGCCTGGCGCACCCCGTTCCAGGGGTCAGTGTCCCCTCTGACCATCCAGGGAATCCCTCAGGCTGGGGGACAAGCCGGGATCTCTGCAGTGCATGCCAGACAGGGTGTGAGGGGAAGGAGGGAGGAGAGCACCCAGGCGGCCCAAGGAGCAATGACAGGGGCCTGCAGAGTGGGGTCCCAGGCCACCCTGACGCCATCACCAGGGGAGAAGCTGCTCCACTGCCAGGGCTTCAGGGAGGGGACTGCTCAGGGGCACATCATGCCTTGCTGACACACAGCCCTCACTCTGAGACCTGGCATCTCCACCTGTGGAACGGGGACAGGACAGCTTCTCCCTCCTGGTTCAGAGACAGCTAGGCACCTCTCGGCGTCCCAGTCAGGACACACTGGATGGGTGACCATGAGCCCCTGGGCGGGCAGAGGAAACACAACAAAGGCTGGTCTAACAAATGAACTGGAGGGCGGCAACGACCCAACAATGCAAAAGCCAGGCCTTGCACCAGCTGAAGGCAGCACTCCGCCAATTTTTTAAAAAAGAAAAAGAAAAGAAAAGTCAAGCGTGAGGTGCCTGGCCTGCTTCGGTTGGGTGGTGACCCTGAGGGCTGGTGTGCGGACTGGAGGAGTCAGTGGGCGTGGGGAGGCTACAGCAGGAGCAGCTCACCTACAGGGGTGAGGCCGTGGGACTCAACGGGCTCATAGCCATGACTTCCACACAAGGACTTGGATGAGAACCTGGTGCCCGAGGACCCCTTCCAACTTGGTCCGGGCTCTGGGCCCTCCTCAGTCACTCCCACACACCCCCAGCTCTGCTTCCTCTTCCCCTGGGAGAGAAGATCACAAGAGGGAGGAGAGGGAGGGAGCGAAGGGAACAGAGCAGCTGCTCCCACCAGCTCTGCCCCAGCCCTTCATCCTGCAGGAAGGAAGGGACACCCCGGAGTTGGGTGCTGGGCTCAGGCAAGTCCACAGGCGGCAGAGGAGGCTCCGAGAAGCGTCCAGGCCTTGAAGCGCTGGCAGGAGAAGGGTGACAACAGCAAAGGTAGCAGGGATAGGGAACAGACGAGGGGAAGCAGTGCATGCCGCCCTCTGAGAGACGCAGCAGGGCTGCTCCAGACCACGCCAGGACAAGGAACAGAGGCCAGGTGACCGCCGGGACGGCCGGGAGGGGATCCAGGCCCAAGTTAGGTGGAGGCAAGGAGCCGACGACACCAGCCAGCAGACACTTACTAAGTCAGCACTTGCCGGGTGCCGGGCCCCATGCCCAGCCTGTGACACTTGCAGCTCACCAAACTCCACCCACTGCTTCCCCAGACCTAAGTGCACAGACCAGTTCCCAAGGTGACACAGACAGCATCGAGGGCGTCCAGACCCGGTCTTCCTGCTTTCTTGGGGATCCCAGAGAGGATGGGGCTGAGACTGCACCAGGACCCCACCCCTGGCCTGAGGCATGCTCTCCAGCCCTCACATCCCCACCCACAAAGACCACCCAGTCCTGGGACCTGCCTCAACCCTGTAGGCAAGAGCTGCCACCCCAGCACACCTGTCCCCTTGAAGGTGCACCTGAGGACACAGAGCGGGGTGTCCCACGGCCACTCAGGACAGGAAATACCACGTGGCTGACCAAGGTCCACCCGATTTTCTTCCCCACCATGGCGGGGAGTGGCACAGTGGGACCTGGGACAGAGGGGGCCCTTATTAAGCCAGGCTCAATCACCAGCAAAATGATTAGGCAAAACGGGCCAGCGGGTGCCCCTCAAACACACACCATGGTGTTGGCAGGACACAGACAAGGACATACACATACTCACCAAGGGAGAAAGGCTGCAGTGCCAGCTCTGCCACCCACTGGCCCACCACTGGACCTTCCTCAGCACGACCCCACTCAACCGGGACCAGCCAGCCAGCATCCCTCCCTCAGAAACGGCATTATCTACAAATGCCGGCAGGAGCACAGCACCTCCATTTGTAGCACAAACTGTAAGTAACTGGACCCATTTCAGTTCAAGAAAGAAAGTTTTAAAAGAATAAAGATGGTTCACTTCACAGGAGAAAAAAGAAAAGACCCAATGAATATCATCTCCTTAAGTCTTGGTTTTTAAAATAAGAATTAACATTTTCAAGCATGACACTGGCCAAAACCCAACAGGTTGACAAGAGCCTGAGCTGGCCTGGGTGTGAGTGAACTGGTGCGAGCTTTCAGACAACGTCTACCGAGACGATGCACCTCCCCCAGCTTCTGCCGCAACTTCTAGGTGAACCGATCTCACCTCACCTACAACAGGGAAAACTGACGGTCAGGACGGCGGGGCAACCTGTCCAAGGCCATACGGCCAGCGCGGGCAGGAGCCAGGAGGTGACACCAAACTAAGCAAGCAGGTGCCTGAAGAACTCCAGCCTCCTCCTGGTTCCCCATGACCCACCCTCCAAACACATCCCACAAAACCGAGCCAAGATTCTTGCATTGGCCAAAATGTGTTTGTGAAAGTCAAAAGCTGACAACTGAAAGATCCCTAAACTGGGATGAGTTCCGTCTGCAACAGTCCCTTCTTACAGCAGACATGGATGAGAACTTGTGAATGTACAAGGGGACTGTGCACGCTGCCAGCAGGGGCTCAGGAGAAACCCTGAGGAGAAGGCAAGGGCTGGGCCTGCCTCTGAGCTGCGGAGAGTGAGCCCCATCCCAGGAGACCAGAATGGGGCGAGCGTGCGCTATTTCCTATGCTCACAGCTCCCTGGCCTCCCTCTGCAGTGGGTGCATCCCCCCACCCCACACACATCCTTGCAGGAGGGACCACATGTCACTCCTCTTGTAGATCCAACACCAGCAGAGCCTGGCGCCAATCCGTGCTGACAGATGACAGGACCGTGGGTCGTGGGTCAGATGAGCCACCACCTGCCCCCACTCCCCCCAAATCATTTATTGATGCTAACAGAGCACCTGCTCTGCCAGGCATGGATTTAGGCACCTATGAGGATTAATTCTTTCTCTCCTCTTTACTATCATAATGGGTTCCTACTGGTCCTGCAGTGAGGAATGGAGGCTCTGAACAATCCAGGCACCTGCCCCAAGCCACTAGCAGCAGAGTTGCCGGAAGGTGGGCGGTTGGAGAAACAGCAAGTATGGTGGATCCTGAGACCAATGGCCAAGAGCCCACCTGGACAAGGGAAGAGTCAGGTGGGGAAGGGGCACGCTGTCATAGAAACCGACAGGCCACGTGCCTGACACCACACTGGGCCTTTTCAAACACACGACCCTCAGACCAACCCTTTCTGCGTGGGCAATGCCGCAGAAAGAGAAGCTAAGGCCCCTGCCCACAGCCACATCACCAGCAAGGGGCTGGGCCTTGGTCCAAATCTGGGTGTTCCACCCAGAAAGCCACTTCTCCCTCCCCACCCCCTACCACAGAGCGGGGGAGTCAGGAGGACTGGGAGAGCGGGTGGTTAAGTCACCCAGGAGAACTCCTTCAGGAAGGACTGCCCGGCTTTCTCCCTGCCAGCCTCTCCGCAGCCGGGGGTCGGACCTCCCCATTGCGGAGTGGAAACCACACAAGGCTCCCTCCTGACAAACACCCACAGACCTGTCACCCGCCCAGAAGGAAGGGCCTGGGAGGGCGGCAGGGACAAGAGGTGGGTGGGAGAAGCACAGATCCCAGAGAAGGAATTACGGGCGTGGGGAGGGCGCCCAGGTCAGCGCTGAGCCTGGGGAGGGGACTGAGGGACCCCAGCCAGCAGGGACGGCCACATGCAGGGCCAGCACCCCTCCCGGCCTCAGGGCGCTCATCGAGGCCGCTGAAGACAGCTGCACCCAGGAGAAGAGGTGACCTGCTAGAAATGATGCGGCCGTGGCCTAGCCTTGACCTGCACCCATCCCACGCCCCCATCCCACCGGGAGACCAAACACCGCAGAGGACGCACCGCCGCCCCGAGGCCTGCCGGAGCAGGAGACACGACCCGCTGCACACCACAGCTGGGCCCGCCGGGCACGCCGGCCCCGGGCGCCCGGTGCTGGCCAGCCTGGCCCGGCGAGGGGTCCGCTCGGCCCAGCTACGGGGGTCGGCCCGGCCCGGGGTCGGGGTCGGGTCGCGGTCCGGCCGGCCGGCCGGCCCTGCCCCTCACCTCCTTGAGCTGCTCCATCTCGCCGCGGACGGCCTCGTAGTCCACCTCGAGCTCCTCGAACTGCAGCTTGAGCTGGTGCTTCTCCTCCAGCACCGCCAGCCCGTACTCGGCCGCCTGGATCTTCTCGCGCGTGGTCTCGGCCAGCTCGTGCGACAGCCGCTTCACTTCGGCGCGCAGCCACTCGGGCTGCGCCTCCATCACCAGCCGCGCGTACTCCTCCTCCTCCGACGGCGCCGACATGGTGGCCGCGGCCCGGCTCGCGCAGCTCGCACCGAGGCTCCGGCCGGCTCCCGTCCCCGCCGCCGCCCAGCCCGACGGCGCCCGGGCCGCCGCCGCGCAGCCGCAGTACGCTCCCCGCCGCGCGGGGCACTCTGGGGGCGGCGGTCCCGTCCGCGCGACTACACGGCCCGTCGTGCCCCGCGCCCGCCCGTCCCAGCCCGTGATTGGCCCGCGCCCCGCGCTGGGCAGCCCCTCCCATCACCATCGCCCCGCCCCCGCCCCCTGGGGCATTGTGGGGGCTGTAGTCCCGCCTGCGCGCCGACTAGAAGGCCCGTCGTGCCTCGCGCCTGCCCGTCCCCGGCCGTGATTGGCCCGCGCCGCTGCCGTCGCAGAGCCGGAAACACTGCTACCTTCCGGCGCCCGCGTCCTGCGCACGACGACTCGGACGGCGGGGCGGGCGGAGCCTAGGACGTAGGGGTGGAGCGATGGTCGAGCGCGGTGTGGGGTTCTAGTAGGAACGCGCGCGGACCCGCATCCGGGGAAACGGGCACGCAGGGGACGACCGCCAGTGGGATGCGACAGGCGCACGGCGTGTTTCCCTGCGGGTCTGCCGGTCCCGGGACCCGACTCAGGACCACATGGCGTCCGGCCCGGGTCACGCTCGCGGGGCCGCGTGTCCTCTCGCCCCCCGCGTCGCGCGCAGGCCGGGCCGTGCACTCGTGTGTCCTCGCGGCCGGAGCGGAACTCTGCCGGGTGGTGCTGCGTCCTGCGTCCGGGAAGGAGGCGCGATTGCTTCCCCGAGGTCGCCGCTGGGTTTCCCGCGGCTGATACCCCGCGAGAGGACGCTTTGAGACGATGCAAATATCCTGTCGTGCCTCAGACCTGAACCCACTAGTTTTCGTTGGTGTTTCTTCGCTAAATGAATTATTACCATACTATTTTTTTTTTTCTATTTCCATCATTCCTTCTCCAGTTACTAGCTTTGCGTTCTAGGGAAGACAGTCCACTCATTAGCGGTGTGGATCCATCGATTCTTATTTTACTCAATGAGTTACCACCCATTACTCTCCTTATTTACTTAGATGCTCAAATGGTGGCAGATTGAGCCGGTGGGAGCTCCACCAAGCTGGCTCCCTGTCCTTCAGCAGGTCATAATTTGTTAGCACTTCCTTGCTCTTTGGCACCGGTTGTTCCAGGATCTTCTTATACTCTCAGTATCCCAGACCTGGAATCACCATTTCTCCAAGGAGCCTGATTACGTTTAGTCGTTTAATGTATGAGGAGAATGTGTCATAATTTTACTTGTGAAATTAAAAAATAATTTTTAAGGCGTTCAACCACAGTAGGAGTAGGTTGTCCAAGCAGCGTGGTTTACCTGGGACTGTCCTGGTTTTAGCCCTGAAAGTCCAGAGTCCTGGGAAGCGCTCAGGCCTGGGCACACCCTTCAGCCTAAGTGGGAGAGATCCTTCGGAAAAGAGGGGAGAAGGACCAGGTGAGCTATTGGCTATTCAGGGTCCCTTGAGATTCCATATGAGTTATAGGATGGGTTTTTCTATTTGGCGAAAAATGCTGTTGGGATCTTGATAGAGATTGCATTGAATCTGTAGAAGTTTTTGAGTAGTAGTGTAGTCTTAGCAATATTGTCTTCCAGTCCCATTTACACAATGTCTTTCCATGTGTATGGCGTCTTTAATTTCTTTCAGGAATGTTTTGCAATTTTCCATATACAAGTCTTTTGCCTCCTTGGTTAATTCCTATTTTTTTTCTTAAAGCTATTGTAACTGGAATTGTTTTCTTAATTTCCTTTTCAGATTATCATTAGTGTATAGAAATGCAACTGATTTTTGTGTGTTGATTTTGTATCCTACAACCTTGCTGAATAAACTGTTTATTAGCTCTAATATTTTTTTGCCATGAAATCTGTAGTGGTTTCTACATATGAGATCATGTCATCTATGGACAAAGATAATTTTACTTTTCCCTTTCCAATTTGGATGCCTTTTATTTCTTTTTCTTGCCTAATTGCTCTGGTTAGGACTTTCAATACTATGTTGAACAGAAGTGGCAAAAACAGGCATCCTTGTCTTGTTCCTGATCTTAGGGGGACAGTTGTCCATCTTTCACCATTGAGTATGATGTTCACTGTGGGTTTTTCACGTATGGCCTTTACCATGTTGAGGAAGTTACCTTCTATTCCTAGTTTGTTGAGTGTTTTTATCATGAAAGACTGTTAGACTTTGTCAAATGGTTTTTTGCATCAATTGAGGTCATCATATGGTTTTTTCCCTCTTCATTCTGTTAATGACCACATTAACACATTAGCATTACATTGGTTGAGTTTCATATGTTGAACCATCCTTACATTCTGGGAATAAATCCTATTTAGTCACCATATGTAATCCTTTTAATATGCAGCAGATTTTGGTTGGCTAGTATTTTGTTAAGGATTTTTGCATCAATATTCATAAGGGATAAGTGGTCTGTAAGGAATGTATTTTTAAAGGTATATGAAAGTCATCCAACTCCCTTGGTTAAGATGATGGGGCTACATGGAACTGAACATGACACGATGTTAAGAGGAGGAAACGGAGAGTCCTTGTGCTTGCAGCTCTGGAACCGGGCCTTGCACACTCCTGCAGAGCTGGAGGAGGAGAAGTGGAATCACTGGGGTTTGAATGGTGGTGGGAGTGTAGGGAATTATTTTTCCTTGAACATTTTTTAATTAAGGATTTATTGTTAATTTTAGGTGTTATTATGTAAGAAAATGCCTTTTTGGATATAAATACATCCTGAGGTACTTACAGGTGGAGAACATGATGTTTGGCATTTGTTTTAAAATACTCCAGAAAAAAGAGATGGAGATAATGAAACAAGCAGTAGTTGTTGATGGTAGTTGAAGCTGGGTGGGGGAACACACTGCTACACTGTGCTCTTGACTTTTGGGTCTATTTTGGAATTTTTTTAATAAAAATTTTCAAATGTTTTAATGTTGCAATGGCACTATCTTCATAAAGCCTGAAAAGACAAAAAAAAAAAAAAAATCATTTACCTGTCTGCTCTGAATGTGTCAGGCTGCCATCTGAGTGCCACTTGACTTTTAGGTGCCTGACCAATGGGCATGAATTCTGACCTCGTGCTTCAAGCTACTCCTTATTTTAAGGGATATTCGCTGGTATCCCTTTTATTGGTTGCTGTCATGTGTCTGCTTACATGACTTTATTTTTTAAAATACTGTTATTGTTTGTAGGTAATGCACATGATTAAAATTTCAGTTTAAAGAAACGTACAACTACACACCACCAACTTAAAAAGTAAATTGGGGGTCTGGCCCGGTGGTGCAGTGGTTAAGTGTGCATACTCTGCTTTGGCAGCTCGGGGTGTGAGAGTTTGGATCCCGAGTGTGCACTAGTGCACCGCTTGTCAAGCCATGCTGTGGGGGCATCCCATATAAAGTAGAGGAAGACGAGCATGGATGTTAGCCCAGGGCTGATCTTCCTCAGCAAAAAAGAGGAGGATTGGCAACAGATGTTAGCTCAGGGCTAATCTTCCTCACACACAAAAAGTAAATTGGCCAGTTGTTTTACTCGCAAAATTAGTTTATTTGGGAACAACCAAAAGAATTGCAACTAGGGATGTGCATACTATGGCAGACCATAGACAAATCCAGAGAACAAGGAAGGAACCTGCTTTATAGAGGAAAAGGGGGAATTGGGAGGGGCTGTAATAAATGAAGAATCCATTGGAGGAAACTGGGAGTCCAAAGTGTAGAGGCATTGGTTGGGTTGCTACAGTCTCTCACTGGCTGAGCTGTTGCTGGGTGGGGAGAGAAATCTTCCTCTGGCTGGGTAATCAAGTAGAAAAGAAAACACCTTCCTGCCCCAGTTGCAAGTGTACCTCTCCCTGTTTGGAGTAATTGATAGGGCGTGAAGCTCCCCCTACAGGCCTTCCTGTTTCCAATTTTAGTTGAGGTTTCCTTTACTAATTTTCACAACACCTATCAGAATGGCTAAAATAGAAAAAAACAAAACAAAACAAAAACCATCAACAAAAGTGACAGCAACAAATGCTGACGAAGATGTGGAGAAATGGGATTGCTCATATACTCTTTGGGGAAGGTAAAATGGTGTAGCTACTCTGGAAAACTTTGGCTTTTTCTTATAAAACCAAACATGCCATCACCATAGGACTCAGTAGTTTCGTTCCTGGGCATTTATCTCAGAGAAATGAGAACTTGTGTTCACATAAAAGCCTGTATACAAATGTTCATAGCAGCTTTATTCATAAAACCTACAAATCGGAAACAACCCAAAAAGTCTTTCATTGGGTTAATGGTGGAACAAACTGGTACAGCCATACCATGAAATACTACTCAGCAATAAAAATGAACTATGGATACATACAACCACCTGGGTGAATCTCCAGAGAATCATACTGAGTGAAAGAAGCCAATACCCAAAGGTTACGCAATGTATGATTCCATTCATATGGCCTTTCAGAAAGAACAAAATTAAAAAGATGGAGAACACGTTAGTGGTGGCTAGGGGTTGGGTTGGGGAGGGTGTATGAGGGTATAAAAGGGCAACATGAGGGACCCTTATGGTCATGGAAATGTTTTGTGTCTTGCTGTGGTATGTAACATGAATATACGCTGGCAATAAAATTGCACAGAACTGACACACCCACACGGAGTACACATAAACCTCATGGGATCTGAATTAGAAGGGTGGCTTGTGTCAATACCAGCTTCTCGGTTGTGATATTTGACGATAGTTATGAGAAATATAACTGAGAAAATATGGTGTGCCAAAATTTGATGAGGAAGATTTTAACCCAAAGTGCTCATTTCTGTCAGAGATAAAAGAAACTAATAATATTAAAAAGTGACTTTTTTTTTTTTTTTGGTGAGGAAGATTGTCGCTGAGCTAACAACTGTGCCAATCTTCCTCTATTTTGTATGTGATATGCTGCCACAGCGTGGCTTGGTAAGCCGTGTGTAGGTGTGCCCTAGGGATCCGAACCTGAGGAACCCCGGGCTGCTGGAGCACATGAACTTAACTACTATGCCAGCAGGCCGGTGCCTACACATATTTGCACATAAAAAAAATATGCAAAGAAAAGCAAGCCCCCCCA